TAAATCAGCATTGCTTTCTTTATATTTAGCTATTAATATTGTAACTTAATTTTTAATTTCTATGATAAAAATATATATTTTAAAGATAGCAATATAATACATAAGAATTATCTTATATTAAAAGTATAATATTATTAATAGAAATTCGTTTTTATTAAATAATAAATTGTATATGAAATTATTTAAATAAGATAAATAAAGAAATTTAGCTAAAATCAAGGAGAACATGACAACTAAGCAAATTTACTTCTTAAATTCGTTTTTATTAAATAATAAATTGTATATGAAATTATTTAAGTAAGATAAATAAACAAATTTAGCTAAAATCAAGGAGAACATGACAACTAAGCAAATTTACTTCTCAAATAATGTTATAGATTTCACAGTTAACGTAAAACTACAATCTGTTGTTATTTTTCATTCTAACAAAAAAAAACATTTTATTGACTCTAACTAACCAACTATCAAAAGAGTTCTTTTCTCAAACCAAATCCAATTTTTACAATAATTACGAAAACAATTAATTCAATTAGGCAACTTTCGGATCCAATATTGGACTATTATTCTAGCTTTCAAGCAAAGAAGTCAATTCTACACAGTAGTTAAATAGTAGTATTAGATATACTTGTAGTTGTCAAAAAAATTTGTATTAGACATATTCAAGCTTTTTGATACAATACTAGATTATGATGAAACCATGGGATTAGCTTAGTCAACAAAATTTTTATTCAATGAAATTAATATTTTGATAAAATTATATATTTAGAAAAAAATATTATTTTGTTTATATTTAAACATTAATCCACATAACACGCTAAATTTATATGTACATAATTTATTTTATTTAACCATTTTAATTAAGAACTATAAATATGTCTTGATCATATTTAAATATGTAGTGATCATATTACTCTTTTTATATATTTTAACTAACTTTATTATAGATGATTTGTGTAATCTTGCTAATAAATTGGCTCATATTATAATCAGTTTAAATTTGTTGTTTACAATTAATGATTTGAGATATGTTTAATTATAAAGTATAAATGTGTATTTGATATAATAACTTACAAAACAAAGTTTAGATCCAGAGTAGGATTATGTTTTAATAAGATAGATTATTAGTATAATATGGCACAAATTAGCACCTATAAAATGGGACAAAAGTCAAGTAGCAGTTTCATACTCAACGTGGTCATCGCGTCAGCTTCCTACCCTCTAGCTCCCGAGTTTAAACTTCCTACCGTGCGACCAAAGTACGCCGGCGATTTGGGCTTTAGAGATATCGAAACCTTCAATGATGCATTACTTGCAAAGATAGGATGGCGGCTGCTATCTGACCCTAATTCCCTGGTTGCTCAAGTCCTATTGGGCAAATATGCCAGATTCTCCAGCTTCATGGAATGCTCTGCCCCATCTAACGCCTCCCACGGTTGGCGCAGTGTTTTGGCTGGTAGAGAGATCCTCCGCAAAGGCCTTGGCTGGGTCATAGGCAGTGGCGACCAGATAAGAATCTGGCAGGACCCTTAGTTATCTTGTTCCTCTCCGGTGACTCCTATTGGTCCTCCCAATGTACAAGACCAGAACCTCCATGTAAGTGACCTACTCTGTCCTCTATCTAACAGGTGGGATAGAGACAAAATCAAGCTGCTTCTCCCTCAGTATGAGGCGCCCATCCTCCGTATAGTCACGAGCTTCTCCCCTGCAACAGACCGTTTAGTGTGGCTCTTGGAAAAGTCTGGTATTTACTCTACAAAAACAGGGTATGGCGCCGGTATGAGAGATAATGTGGCAGCTACACTACCAAGGGGATTGGCTTCCTTTAACTGGACAAAGAACATTTGGAATATCAAGACGTCACCTAAGTTAAAGGATTTCATTTGGAAGGTGGTTAGAAGGGCTATACCCGTTAGTGCTAATTTGGAAACTAGGGGTCTTCCAAGCTTCAATTGTAAACGATGTGATGGTGTCGAGGATGACTTACACTTGTTCCTCCACTGTGATCTTGCGAAACACGTCTGGGATGAGGCTCCACTTCTTGGTAGACCCTCTCCTACGCTTCCGTCAATGGTGGCTTTCTTTGAGCAAACCTGTTCTCTCACTGTTTTGCCTCCAGTTGGTCTCAATGTTCCCTTTTGGCCATGGATTCTTTGGAATCTATGGAAGGCGCGTAATAAGTTATACTTTGAGAATAAATTTTTTTCCGCTATGGAAATCATCAACAAATCGATCAAGGATGCCAAGGAGTGGCAGGAGGCACAGGGATCTTCCCCATCGGCGGAACCTACCCGATCCCCTCCCTCAACAATCTGTGGCGCCAGACCCCAAGCTTCGAGCAATACGATAGTTTGTAATGTTGATGCTGCATGGAATGCAGTTACTGAGTTTTGTGGTATTGGTTGTGTTTTCTCAGGTACCTCCCACCCGATGCAACTCGACACGATTAGTGCGACGAGCAGCTTTGTTTCTTCGGCGTTAATGGTTGAGGCCCTCGCCATCCGGTCTGCGGTGATGTATGTCGCGTCGTCAAATGTGAAATTCC